CCCCCTTCCCCCCTCCTCCTCCTCCTCCTCCTCCTTTGCCTCTTTGCCTGCCTCCTCCTTGCCTGCCTCCTCCTCTCCTCCTCCCTGCCTCCTCCCTGCCTCCTCCTTGCCGGCCTTGCCGGAAAAATCGTCGCCGCGTTCGTTGGCTCCGGGGTGGTGGGGCCCAGCAGAGCGACGTCCTACGAGGATCACCATGAGGCCTCGCCGTCCCGGGGGCTGCGCTCGGGCTCCTGGGGAACCCAGCAGGGTGACGTGTTACGGGAATCACCATGGGGCCTCGCCGTCCCCAGGGGGGGGGCTGTGATCTGCGAAGCCGTCGCCACTTTCTTTGGCTCCTGGGAGGCGCAGCAGAGTGACGTCCTACGGGGATCTCCATGAGACCTGGCCGTCCCTGGGGGGCTGCGGTCTGCGACACTGTCGTCATTTTCCTGGGCTCCCGTGAGGCCTAGCAGAGTAAGTACGTCTTACGGGGATCACCATGAGACCTGGTCGTCTCTGGGGGGCTACGATCTGCGACGCTGTCGCCACTTCTCTGGCTCCTGGGAGGCCCAGCAGAGTGACGTCCTTCGGGGATCACCATGAGACCTGGCCGTCCCTGGGGGGCTGCGGTCTGCGACATCGTCATTTTCCTGGGCTTCTGGGAGGCCTAGCAGAGTAATACGTCTTACGGGGATCACCATGAGACCTGGTCGTCTCTTGTGGGCCGCGATCTGCTTATATGTGGCTATTTTCGGGTGCGTGTTTTTGGGGGCGAAGCAGAGTGACGTCCTACAGGGATCACCATGAGGCCTCGCCAACCCTGGCGGGGGGCTGCTATCTGCGACATTGTCGCCGCTTTCGTGGGCTCCTGGGATGCCAAGCAGGGTGACGTCCTTCGGGGAACACCATGAGACCTCGCTGGCCCTGGGGGCGGGGCCGCGATCTGCGACAATGTCGCCACTTTCGTGGGCTCACGGGGAGCCCAGCAGAGCGACGTCTTCCGGGGATCACCATAAGACCTCGCCGTCATTGGGCGGCTTCGATCTGCGACGCTGTCGCCGCTGACGTGGGCTCCTGGGGAGCCCAGCAGAGTGACCTCCTACGGGGATCCCAATGAGACCTCGCCGCCCCTGGGGAGCTGTGATCTGCAAAACCGTCACCACTTTCGTGGGCTCCTGGGAGGCGCAGCAGAGTGACGTCTTACGGGGATCTCCATGAGACCTGGCCGTCCCTGGGGGGCTGCGATCTGCGACGCTGTCGTCAGTTTCGTGGGCTCGGAGGCCCAGCAGAGTGACGTCCTACGTGGATCACCATTAGACCTGGCCGTCCCTGGGGAGCTGCGACACTGTCGTCAGTTTCGTGGGCTCCTGGGAAGCGCAGCAGGGTGACGTCCTATGGGGATCACCGTGAGACCTCGCCGGCCCTGGGTAGCCGAATCCTGCCAGGCACTGCTAGATACAGCGGCCCTCTGCTAAGCCCTTAGAAGGTCTGCTAGCCACCTGCCAGGCCCCGCAAAGTGTCAATAAGCTCGATCAAGCCCTGTCAGCCCCTGATATGTCCTGCTGAGACCTGCCAGTCCTTGCTAACACCTGCTAGCCTTGCTAAGTTCTGCCAGCACCTCGATCACCTGCTACGCCATGCGATGCCTGAAAAGCCATGCGGGGCCGCATCAAATATACGATCACCAGGGAAGAACCCATTGCTAATGAACGTCGATCAGAGGCGGGCCCACCCCTAAAAGAACCGTATTCCGGATGAAGCACTCTCTCATAAGATCCGAACAAGGATGTATTCACTTCTAATATAATCCCATGGGAGGTGGATCCACCTCTACTGGGATCTGGCTATGGACGGGGTCACGGGTTGTGTTGCATGCAGTGTGGCTTCACCTCTCATAGAATCCTAGTAGTGATGGATCCACCTCTAATGCAGCTCCATGAAGGATGGACGTGCCAGAAATATACTGGGATTAGATGTGGACGCACTTCTATTTGAATTCTATGGGGAATGAGCCACCTCTAATACAATCGTTCCTGACCCGTGCTAAGCCCCTGCGGATCGTTGCTAAGTCTTGCCCTGCTGAGCCTTGCTAGCCACTGCGGTGAACTCTGCTCGGTCCAGCCACGCCCTGCCAAGCACTGCAAAAAGCGCGACTAAGCCCTGCTGGCCCTCTGCTAAGCCTTGATAAGCTCTGCTAGCCACCTGCCAAGCCCAGCGACGCCTGAATAAGCCCGACCAAGCCGTTCTAGGCTCTGCTAGCCCCCTGGTGAGCCCTGTTGAGACTTGCCAATCGTCGTTAACTTCTGCTAGCCTTGCTAAGCTTTGTCAGCACCTTGGTAACCTGCTACGTCATGCGGAGCCATATCTACTATCATCCGATCAGGTTTGGATATATTGCGAATGGAATCCGATCAGAGGTGCATCCACCTCAAGCAGAGCCCGATTCTGGAGGACGCAAGCTGGAATACAATCCGACCAAGGACATCTCCAATGCATCTAGTATCCCATGAGAGGTGGGTCCACTTCTACTGGGGTCCTGTTATGGACGGGGTCACGGGTAAGTGCATTGCATGACATGTGCATACCTTTCTGACATAATCCCATCATTGGTGGGTCTACCCCCAAGACAATTTCATGAATGATGGAAGCACCTGGGGTCCCATCTCAATAGATGTGGGTCCATTGCAATGTGATTCCTATTGCGATCGGAGCAGCCTCTGATATAATCAGACCAGGGGTGTGTCCATTGCCCATGGAATTCGATGCGACGTGGTTGGTATCTACCTCGCAAGAACCAGATTAATGTCCAAGCTGCCTGTAACACAAGTATTTCAGGTGTGGAAGTACTTCCACATAGTTGAACTCAACATGTTAACCTCCCACGAAAAGAATCCCAGTGGAACGTCGCAAAACAAAGACTTCGTTTATGAATTCACGCAATCGTAACCAATGTGTAAATCTCTTACACAATGAATCCGAGTGTAAGGTCGCACAACAATCTTTCCATGTGTAACCGACACTAGAAATCTATTTGCACAACGCCCACAAGAAGGACTCGTATCGAACAGCCGCACGTAAAAGGATTGTACGTGAAGTTCGCACAGCAGAAATCAATATGTGAATCGCCCGCAATAGGAATCGCTTTGGACACCGCACAGCAGGATTTGATGCGTAACCCACACTGTAGGAAGCATGATGCAAATTGCCCACACAAGGATTCCTTCTGAGAAGCAGCCAGAACAAATTTTAGACCTTCGGGGCGGGGGCTTGGGGGGGGGGGCGAAGACATTATGCCCCCTCCATGTGTTTGCGTTCCCCCACTCCCCCCCGCCCCGGCCCCGACCCCCCCAACAAAAAAATGGATTGCGCGATCCCATTGTGGCTCCCACTTAGAGAAATTCCTTGTGCGGGCGATTTTTAACTTGATTATGATTGTGTAGAAGTGTGACAATTCGAACCATGTTGTGCCGTGTTTTTCTCTCAGGAGGGTTATATCATATGGTTAGGAACGACGAAGTTGGGAGGGAAACGAGACATTACGAAATGAACAAATACACAAACCGACTAGCCAACCAACTTCCAACATATTTACATACCCCACGATACTGGTCCCCAAACGGTTCTAAATGTCCCCCTTACCTGGGGGGGGGGCTCTTGGGGGCCTTTGGGAGCCTCTGGGGGGCGCCTCGGGGGCTTCACGAGAGGCTCTTGGGGGCATCTTGGGGTGACAGGCTCGAATATCAGCTCGTATTTCCAATGTTGGGCCCCTCTTGGAATCTCTTCGGTGCCTCTTGGGGCGATCTCAGGCGGCTGTGGGGCCGCCTTAGGGCCTTCTGGGACCGTTTTGGGGCATTCGTTGGGGCCTCATGTGCTGCCCCAGGACGATATTGGAAGTTATTTTGAGGCGGCTTGCACGGTTTCAGGACGAATAAGGCGAGCATGTACGTTCCCCATTAGGAATGAAACGATGTTTGCTTCTTGGGGCCTTCGGCTGTCCTTTGGGAAATCATGTGGGCCCTCCTGGAAGCCTCGTGGGCCGTCTCGAAGACAGGTTTGAACGTCGTGGGATGCCTGAGGCCGTCTCGAGACTCTCTGGGATTGTCTTGGCTTTCTGTTTGGGCTCTTTGGGGCAGTCGTAGCGCTTGCCCGAGGCTTCGGAGGCCCCCTGGGTGCGTTGTTGAGCTCGTCCCCCCACCCCCACGCAACTTCCCCCCACCCCACACACCTTCCCCCTCCCCTCCCTCCCCCCCTCCCCCCCTCTCCCCCCCTCCCCCCCCTCTCCCCCCTCTCCCCCCCTCTCCCCCACTCTCCCCCCTCCCACCCCTCCCCCACTCCCCTCCCTTTGCAGGGATTTTGGGACCTTGGTGGAAGGGGACAACCAAATCTCTCACTCGCCTTATCACCCCCGGCAAGCAGGGGTCGGCGAATTCCATAATTGTTATCGATGTATCGTTTGTTTCTGGCTTCTCTGCCCAGGGGCTCTTCTGGGCCAGTGGGTGGTCCGAAATTGAAGATCCGCATATGCGCGCCGAGTATGGCTTTTACGTGGGAGGGTGAGGGTTGGGTGGGATAGATGTGCACCGAATTGTATTTCGCTGCACGGGATGGTGGGGGTTGGGTCGGATGGATGTGCACCGAAGAACATTTGCAACATCGGATGATGGAGATTGGGTCGTGTGGCGAACATGCTTCGCACAGGAAAGTGAGGCTTGGGTCGGATGGTTGCGTACCGAATAACCTGCTTTGCGTAAAATGGTACGGGTTGGGTCGTATGGATGAGTTCCGGATAGTAGCTGTTTGCATGGGATGGTCATGGTTGGTTCTTCTTGATGTGCTCAGAGTTGGATGTGTTTGCATCGGACGGGGAGGGTCGGGTCAGATTGATGTGCACCGAACACATTGTGCGTAACGTGGATGTTTGCGGTGCTAAGGCGAGAGTCACATTTTGAAAAGGAACCGCCCACCGCATTTGAAATTGATGCAAGTTTTCAGGTGAACATGCGCAGCGCTGAAGGGAGAGACACATGTTCATGACAAGCCGGCCACCAACCTTGAACGTGTTATAAGCTTTCCCGTGGGCATTTTGGCTCAAGCCGCTCTGGCTCCAGAGCAGGCAGGGCCAACACCCGAGTCCCAGCCGCTCAGCGAGCACTCTGGCCACACCCCCGCGCGCTCGGTGGCCCAACCACACCCAGGGCCACTCGCGCGACGGCTCGGCCGCCGCCTGGCGCCATGCCCCGTGGCCTGCCACTCGTGGGCCTTGGCGCTCCTGCAGAGGGCGCCGGCGGCCCTGCTGGGCCCGGCACGGGCGTCCGCGGTGGGGCGCGCGCGGGGCCCTTGGCGTTCTGCGAGCTGCGTTCTGCGAGGGCGCCCCCGGCGGGCGTGTCCGGCGCGCCGGCGGCGGCGCCGTTGCCGCCAGAGGCGGGCAGCGAGTGCGGCCCAAGCGGCAGCGAGTGCCCCAGCACCGACGGCAGCGGCCACGGGGCAGCCGGCTCGGGGGCGTCCGTCCTCTCCAGCCTGCAGGACTCCAGCGCCACCCTGAGCGAGCACGTGCCCGGTGAGCCGACGAGGACGCTCATAGGGAGGTCGGACATGCCGGAGGCCATTCGCCTCTCCGCCATCCTCCAGTGCCCGCGCGACGGCGAAGGCAAGTTCTTGAGCCTTGGCGCGGCCAAGCACGCCGTCGGGAAGTGCACCCCGTGCAAGTTCGCGGTGTCGAAGAGGGGCTGCAAGGACGGCATCCTGTGCAAGCTCTGCCACGCGACGCACGAGCTGACACGGTCGGGCATGAGGCGCGTGGCGAGGCGCAACGGCCTCGAGAGGAGGGCCCTCTTCGAGAGGCCGCAGGGGCCGGGCGGTCGGATTCCAGCGGATCTCGTGAAGAACACCTTCGTGCACGTTCCGCACGCCTTGGAGGCGCCCTCGGGCACTCGCTCCGTGCCCAGAGAGGCGTGAGACGGTGCGCGCAGCGGCCGCGGGAGGCGCGCGCCGCAGCCTCCCGGCCCGGCGCTGCCAAGAGCGGCCTTTTGCCCAGAAGGTCCAGAGAGATGTCGGGCCTTTCCGTGGCAGGGGCAGGGGCCCCGGTATAGCAGGGGCCTCGAGCCTTATCATTTTCGCGCCGCTCCTTCCCCCGTCTTATCATTTTCGCGCCGCTCCTTCCCGCGCCCCCCCCTTCCCCCTTCCCCCCTCGGGCTTCATCTCTTAGCCCTCCCTCCCTCCTACCTTCTGATCCCTCCCTCTACCTTCTGACGGCCGCACCGCGCGTGGGACCCGCATCATTCATGGATGCCGGCGAACATTTCCTGCGCCGCCCAGTGGATCCTCGAGAAACTCTGCAAGAATTATGTGGTGTTCTTCGGGCACCGAAAACAGTACATGAGGTGCTGCACGGTGGCTGCTTAGAGGGCGACCGCATCTGCCCGCATCGCCTTCGCTGCGGGGGGGGGGTCCCTTTCCCGTTGCCGAGCGCATGGCTGCGCACATGCAATTGTGCATACCTACAGCAAATACACAGTTCCCTTGCACGCGGATGTGGCCAGGGTAGAGAGCCCGCCTGCGTTCATCATAGAAGCTTGCCTGCATCTATCCAAGCAGAGTCCCCTTGACACGTGCGACTGGCCAACCTAGGGGTAGAGGGATAGAGGGGATAGAGGGGGATAGAGGGGGATAGAGGGGATAGAGGGATAGAGAGGGGGATAGAGGGGATAGAGGGGATAGAGGGGGAACAGCCAAGACGCACATGTGCAGCTGCGCGACCTCTGACGCGCGGTCCCGGAGGAGGCGCGACAGACCCAGGCGAGGCTGCCGCTGAGCTGTTCTCCGTTGGTCTTTGTGGTCGGGCTGTTGGGTTGGTGGTGGTGCCAGTGTGTGTTCACTGGTGTTTTCATTCGTGATCTTAGGAGGTGGCCTACCCATCGCATTATTACTGTTGCTGCAAGCACGGGGCTCCCACGCGAGCCAGTGATGGCACCCTCGGGTACTCCGTCGCACCGAAGCCATGTAACACATCGGTGCGCTGCCAGGCGGCCTCGTCGCGCGTCGCGAGGCGGTTGCCCAGAGCGTGGAGCCTCAATGGTGCCTCACGTTTGAACCCTTATGGTGGGTTTCAAACTTTTCTCCGTCTGACGTTTTTCCACCGGTTCCATGGCAGCCGCATTGCAGTCTTGCTGCCTTGCTGAAGGTACGGCTGCGTACTGTACAGGCATTTAAAAGCGTTTTTTGCGATTTCTGTACGGTAGTGGGTATGGATGGGTTGTGTTTAGATTGGCGTAGCAATACCCTTGAGGCTTGAAGGGTGTCTTGTTGATTCTCACCCGTGCATGTTTTTCCGCACTACATGATTCACGCCGTTCCCGCAAGCGGGACGAGACGTTTTAGGACGCTCGATCAGACGTGCTATTCTGTACGTTTTGAAAGCGACTCTGTGCGGCGCTCAGGCGAGAGCCACATTTTTCCGCAATCAGTGCTTGCACTGAAGAGGTCCTAGCAGAAGTTGAAAGATTTGGCGAAAGTTTCCCCACGATTTGGGTAGCAGGATGGGTTCCCCGATTCCCGGTTCCGGGTTCCCGGGTTCCCGGTGATTGGTTCCGGGCCGATTTCGGTGGGTTCTGGGTTGCCGGGCTCCCGGGTTCCCGGTCGATCCCCTCAGCGAAAGCCATCCATTGATTAGGTTTTTCTTGGTTTAAGACATGGATTCGTTCGGTCGTCCTCGGTCCTCTCGCTCGGCCTTCCTTCGCTTCTGGCGTGCGTTTGTCTGGGGCTCGCCTCGTCGTTCGTTCGTCGGTGCGTGCGCGGCACACGCCCGAGCACGCAAGTCGCGGCGTCCGCGCGGGGCCGCGCAGGCGGCGCGGGGCTACGCGGATGGACCGCGTGCGGCCCGCAGGGTCAGGAGGAGGAGCAGGAATTGATACGTGACGGAGGGGAGGAGGAGGAGGAGGAGGAGGAGGAGGAGGAGGAGGAGCCCGAATCTCCCCTCGCCACCGCCGCCAGGGCGCACCCTGTCATCTCCGATAAGTTCCTGGCGTCCAAGGAAGAGTTCAACTGCAGCAAGGCCCCCTCCTGCGGCCGCGACGGGCGGCGGGGACAGGAGGAGGGAGGAGGAGGAGGAAGAGAGGGGGGGGGAAAGAGGAGGAGGAGCAGGAGGGAGGGGGGAGGCGCTGGGACGGAATCTCTGGCCTGCCGGTGTGCAGGCGGCACCACGGTGCGAGGGCCCGGCTGCCGGAGTATTCAGCGGCCGCGCGGTTGCGCGGGTGGTGGGGGGTTGTCGCCGTTGCCTGGCGACGTAGCAGGTGGGAGCAGGAGGGAGGAGGAGCAGAGGGAGCCAGGGCGTCGGCGACGAGGGGTGGGGCAACAAGGGGCGGCGAGCGTCGGCGGCGGGGCTTCCCCTCCTTCTCGGCATCATCGTCATCATGACTTCCTCCTCTCCCCCACCTGCCATTCATCATCACCCTCATCATGGCCAAGCATCCCGTCATGTATATGTTCCTTCCTCCTCCTCCTCCTCCTCCTCCTCCTCACGTATCCTCTCTTCCTTCTCCTCCTCCTCTTCCTGCCGCCGCCCCCCCTCCCCGTCCCTCCCTCCTCTCATCCCATAGCGTTCTTCGCCGCCGTCCTCGTCGTCCTCCCCCCCGCCCGTCGCCATCGCCGTCGTCGTCGTTCTCGTCGTCCTCCGTGTCGTCCCTGTCGTCCCTTCCGTCGTCGCCGCTCTCGTCGCCGTCGTCGTGCTGAAGGCGGCGATCCGGTACTCGCAGAGCCTGACGAAGGACGCTCGGCGAGCAGGCTTGGCATCGCTCGGACGTGTGCATTTTTCCTTCGGCGAGGACCATCGAGGAGCATCCTCGATCATTTGGCCAAAGAAAACACGCACGAAACCGAAACAAACACAGGGAATGGACGTCCGAGCGATGGCGAGCAGGGGGGGCAGCGCGCCGCGCCTCCCTTCTGCAAATCTGCCTCCGCGGATGCCTCCCGCCGGTGCTGCCCCTGGCGGCAGATCCATGTATCGTCAAGTCGGGCACGTCCTTCTACAGGAGGAATGCTCTCAGGAGGAGGAAAAACACACAGACACAATTAATCGTAGATCCCCCAGAAAATATTGGAAAATATGGGAAGTGGGGGGGGACCCAGAAAATATGGGAAAATACGGGGAATCATTCTATTTGTATGTATTTTTTTGTGTGTCACAGGGCCCCTTCATGTTCGAGAATTGTAGTAAAAAATGTATGGGTACGATTCCTCGTGCTTGTTCTGGTTGCTTCACTATGTTTGCTTGTTCTTGGTGTTTGATGTTTTCTTACTCTTCCTTCCAGCTCCGCCGGTTGGAGGACATGCCCGACCTAAGCTTAGCGTCACAGGGCAACGCCCCTCCCGGGTTGGCGTCGTGCGGCCGCCTTCGGGGCTCAAGAGACAGGGGTCAATGTAAGAACGGAGGTCCGTCAGGGCGCCGGCTCTCGCAGGATCCTGCAGCTCCAGAGTCGCACCGACCCGGCTCCGGGCGCAGGATCCTGCAGGACCCTGCAGAGGATCCTGCAGAGGATCCTGCCAGGCCTGACTGACCTGGGTCTGCATGGATCAGGAGGGAAGAAACACGCAGACACAATTAATCGTCGATTCCCTGAAAATATCGGAAAATATGGGAAGTGGGGGGGAAGACAAAAAACCAGAAAATATGGGAAAATATGGGGAATCTGCTTATTTGTGAGTATTTATTTGTGTGTCCCAGGGCCCCTTCAATGGACCCGGGTCAGTGCGTCCCCGACGCCTGCCGTCGCGCCGCCGCCGTCGTCGTGCCCTCGCCGCGTCGCGGTCGCCGCCGCCGTCAAAGGTCTCGTCGCGCCGCGTGTCGTCGATCGTGCCCTCCTCGGGGGGAATCGGGGGCCCTTCGTGCGGGCCTCGCCGCCGGTCAGAGAGTCGCAGGGCTCGTTTCGATTCCTCCGATTCGAGTCGATTCGATTTCGATGGCTTCCGATTTCGATTCGATTCGACTTGGGATTCCGATTTGGGTTCCGATTCTTTATTGGAGGCTAACTAGCCTGCCGATTTCCGCCTATTCGACTTTTCTCGACTCGGCCGCCGATTTCCGCCGATCCGATTCATTTCGATCGCCGATCCGACATATCGATTCGATTCTTGGCTCTCCTGGAGTCAGGGTCGGAGTCACGGCCCCGGCTGGGGTCAGCTGGCTGGCATGAAGTCGGGCACGTCCCCCCTACAGGAGGAAAGTTCGAAAGTGGCTCAAAAATAGTGCGGGGGCGATTTGCAGGAGGAGTATCCGAAAAGGGTAACACACGTAGTCTGGGGACGATTTTTTTATTATTGTCATTATTCTTATTTCATGAGAGCATGTTTCGATCATGTGTTCTTTGTCCTCCAAAATCTGCCTGTAGGAGGACACGCCCGGCCGAGGGCTGGCACGGGTCGGGGGGCCGACCATTGCGATCGACGCTGCCTGGCAAGCGCACAGACTTGCCACCATGGGGGGCGAAGAGACTTACGCACATGCACCGATCCTGGCAAGGCCCGTCCTTGACCCAGGATCGGTGCACATGCCTTCCTGGCCAAGGCAGGAGGAGGGGGAGGAGGAGGAGGAGGAGGAGGAGGAGGAGGAGGAGGAGGAGGATCAGGAGGAAAAGAAGCACACAGACACAATCAATCGTCGATTCCCTAGAAAATATGGGAAAATATGGGAAGTGGGGAGGAAGACACAGACCCAGAAAATACAGGAAAATATGGGGGATCGTTTTTATTTGTGTGTATCTATGTGTGTGTCCTTGGGCCCCTTGAGGAGGAGGAGGAGGAGGAGGAGGTGGAGGAGGAGGAGGTGGAGGAGGAGGAGGAGGAGGTGTATCCGTGTCTGTGCCCAGTTCTCGCTCCTCCTGCAACGGGTTGGGCGCGAGCCGGCTCGGCGCGCCGAGGTCCGAGCCCGGCCCTCGCCGGTCCCTCCTCGCCGGTCCCTCGAGGGGCGGCGGCGGCAGGCAGGGTTCCTCGGGGGCGGCAAGGAGGGGGGCGATGACTGCCCTGCAGGCTCCGTCGGGGGGCCCTCGCGTCCAGCCCAAGGAAGCAGGGATGGGGAGGAGTCCGACGTTCGCCTGGCATCGCTCGGACGTGTGCATCGCCATGATCTCTCCGCAGGTTTTATGACGCCTCTTCTTGTTGCATGACGTCCCTGGCCCCCCCGCTGGGTATATCAGTTTCTCGCACGCCAGAACTCGGGGGCGGCAAAGAGGGGGGTGATGACTAGGGGGGGGGCGGACATCATGGCGGGGGCCATAAGATTGGGCTGGCCTCGGGCAAGTGCCGCCGATCCGGGGGGGCTCTGGAAGTGGAGTTTTCTATACCCCCCTGTTTCTATACCCCCCTGTCCCCGGGTACCGAGAAACGTCGGAAGTGACGCGGAAATATCCCCGTGTACCGAAAACGTCGGAAATGACGTCGGAAAATAACGTCCCCCCCCCCCCCCTGCAGAGCGAAGCTTGAGCGAGCTCAAGTCCACGCTCTCAGAAACTCACACGCCGGATCGGCGGATTTCCCCAGATTTTATAACGCCTCTTCTTATTTCATTACGTCCCTGGCCCCCCCGCTGGGCTGCGCACATGCCCCCGGTCATGATTTGCACCCCCCCCCCTCTTGGACACCCTCCTCTTGGCC